TTTCTCAGCATCCAAACACCCAAACCATACCATTTTCTAGCCAAACAAATGGAAACCACTAAGAATTGCTTCTTTACCCAATTGCTTCTGTTCTTTCCATTTTGAACCTTGCAATTTGGATAATCTCTTCGCAAACAAACATATAACAAAAAAAAAAAAAAAGTGGAGCCAAACTGGGTTCCATCGAACCCAGATCTGCTGGGTTCGAGGAACCCAGTTTGCTAGGTTCCGGTGGAACCCAGCAGACACAGAGGAAGAAGAGGAAGAAAGAAGAGGAAGAAAGAAAAAGAAAAAAAAGAAAGGAAGAAGATGATCAAAAGAGGGGAAAAAGATGGATCAAGAAAGGGAGATGGGTAAATTTGTAATTTTTTATTTTTTTATTAACGTAAAATCGGTTTATGAATTGACAATGAGTTGGATGAATTGACAATGAGTTGGATGAATTGACGATGATGTGCCTTAAGAAAAATTTCCAAATCAACGTTTTTTTAAATTGTTTTCGCCATCTCATCAAAAAAATTATAAAAAATGCCACGTATCGTAGTTAACGGTCTAAATTGACAGATAGACTAATGGAGTGCATTTTTTAGAGTTGAGGGATCAAAAAAGTGCAAAAAATTGTTGAGGGACCAAAAATGTGCAACTCACTAAAGTTGAGGGACCAAATTTAGCATTTAACCTACTATTTAATGAGTTATTCTATCATCACTTAATATATTACGACTATGTTTATTTAAATTGTTGTCACGCCCCAAACCGAGAGCGAAACAGACGTCGTGCACTTGGGAACGGGTCCCGCAATGCACAAGGCTCGAAACTTACTAAGTTCATGCTACTAATTCAGATAATTCAGGTCATATCTAATTTCTTTTTTCTTTCTACATATTTACTCGTCAAGTGTACAAGGAGTTATATTCATCCATACAATCCTTACTATAACTACAGGAGTTCTGTACACAAAATTCCTAAGTCAGCATGGGTGACTAGCGGCCTAGCTACAAAACTAAATCCAAAAGTGCCTAGCCGTCTAGCTCGTCACTCCCCCGGGCTTCCCACGCGTCGGGTCTCACTACCTAAAATGGCGGACAAGGAAACTGTGAGATAAAAATATCTCAGTAAGTAAACATGGGTGCCTGAAATCAAAATTAAAGCATGCCAAATAATCGGTTGAAACATAAACAGAGCGTTTCAATAACAAACCATTGATGCAAGTAAAATCACATAGTGGTCTCCTCTATTAGTCATGGCCAGTGTTATAAACCTCCCACTGGCAGGCACACGATTACTAGTGTATAATCCCACTAGTAGGATATCACGAGCGAACCGGTTCTATCACTAACATGTCAACATGTGCTAGCGTTTGTAAACCTCCCCCACTAGCAGGGTCACTAAATACATGACCACATCGGAGACAAAACCCAGCAAGAATTACAGAAAACCAAGATTCACGATCGTTTTCACTTTCAAAAATAAATTGAAGAATCTCATGTGGGCATGCTCAATTCTAGAAAATAAGGAAAATAATAAAAGTTCAAATTCCCTTTTTAATCATGCTCAAATGCAAATAAATCCATTTAAACCTCGCCACCATCTCAGAAAACAATTAACATATGCTTCAAAAATTTAAGGGCATTACCATAATTTACTTACCTTAATTACACAAGACAGAGGGCCTAATCCGAGTGCTAAGGCCATAGGACGATCAAGGATCTAATCACAATATTCCCAAATTAATATCTATGTATATACAATTATTCAATTACACATATACAATTTCTCAAACTAATGGACAAGATTGGGAGAACCGGCCTAGACAAAAAGGCCAATTCACAGAATTTTCCTCCTTTTCTCTCGGACACACACACAACAGCCAAATTAAGGATTTTCTACTTAAATCATCAACCAATCCATTTTCAAATTGCCAAAACTCATCCCCCACCTCCGGCAGATTGTTTTTGGACAACCCAACACCCACACAACCACTTAAACTCACAAATCAGCACTTAATCAACCAATTCTCGGAGATTAGAAGAGCCAACTTACCAGAAATGCTCAACAAGCAAGGCTGGAGCTAGCGGTATGGGAAAGAGCCGGTGGGAAAAATTGGGGAGGCTTCCACGGGCCACTAGAAATTGAAGGGAATAAAGATTAGGGTGAACCCACACACATAAGGGCTGAAGAAAAAAAAAAAAAAAGGAATTCATGGCTGATTTTACTAAGAAAAACCAGAACTTCTACCCAGCAACAGCCGGCGGCAAAGGGAGGAGGAAGCAGAGTAGATCCGGCGGCTTTTCTGCGAAAGAAAGAAGTTCTAAGTCCTAGACTTGTTCTTGGGCAAGAGGAGAACAAAAATCATCAAGTTCTCTTACCAATTTTTTCAGATGGGGGCGTTGGAAATGGCTGGTGATGTTCGGCTGCAGGGAGAAAAGAAAACAAAGCAGACACGCGAAAATGTTGGGGGAAGGAAAGAAAGAAGAAAAAGAAAAAGGGAATGAGTCAGCCGGCCTTATCCAAAAAGATTTACCCCCTTAAAGTTTGAAAAATTGATGGTTAGGTCCATTAATAATGTTTTCTCACCATTGAGTCCCTAACTAACACTTATTTGTTTTGGAAATTTTGGGATATTACAATTGTGCAGTACGTTTTTTGCTGCACTTTTCTTTCCATGAACACTAGAAATGTTTTTTTTTTTTGTTAGCCATTTCTTGCAACATTTCCATTTCCATTTTTTAAGTAATTAATAACTAATAGTAATTAATAAGAAACAAAAAAATGTAGAATTTTGAGAAAAAAATGTAATTTAAGGATAAAATAGATAATTATATTAAAATAATGTGGTATTAACTATTTAGGTTGTGACAATAACTTTACGTCTTTTATGTTATTTTTTTAAAAGTTTTATTAATACAATTTCACAAAATTTAAATAGTGATTACATAATATTTGTAAAATTAAAGTGTGAATCTTTATTATTATTATTTTTTACAATATTAAAACTATTTGTGTAGAAAGAGTTAAGTATGAAAAAACAATAATGTCGGCAAAAAAGTCTTGAATTTAGATACATACAAACCTAAGCATAGAAAAGTTCTATTTTCTCTCTTTTATGGGATGATGTTATTATTACATCTTCGATTATTAATGCACCACACTTTTTTTATTTTAATTAACTATATTATATTTTTAATTTATTAAGAAATAAAAAATATAGAATTAAAAAAAAGTAATGTAAAGGTATAATAGACAATCATATTAAAATTATGTAATATTAAATATTTAAACTATAACAATAACCCTACCCCTTTAATATTATAGCATTTAAGTTTTATTAATATCATTTCATCAAATTGTGCTTATTCCTTTTTTAATTCTAAGTTGTATCCAATTAATTGTATTAGATTTGAATTAGATTTGATTCTCTATATCTTCTATTTGGTATTTTTTTGTTTGGCTTAATTATTTAGTCATGTTGCATTAGAAATTTATTCTATATCTATCTATATATTAAAAGAGAAACTAATAAAAGAAAATCTTGTTATGTACTCAATTTTTATATAATCCTTAATTTGAGGTACTTTTGACATATTGCAAAACTCTCTTTATTTGGTAATTTATTTTACTATTAAGTATTTCTTAAGTTGTTGTTTAATGAAATCAATTAATGTCAAAGTCCAAAATTATGGCAAAATAAAAAAAATCAAATCCAAAAGCTTAATTAATGCCACTTAACTACTATACCCTAAGTATATATTTACTGTTACTTTTTGTTAATTTAAGTTTTTTAAAATAAAAAATTGATGAAAAAAGGACCGATTATTTGGATAAAATTGGATGAGAAAAGTCTAAATTAAAACATTAAATATTCACAATAATAAAAGAAAAATTACTAGATTTTTTTATTATATTACTTTTAAAATTAAATTTTTATTATTTTAAGCCCAATTTCCTTTAGAATTTAGGAGGAATAATTTTATGTTTCAATATTTAAAATTCAACATGAAAAACTAGAAATTTAAACTTTAAAGTTTTAGAATTTAACATTTAGTTTTATAATTTTAGAGTTTAATAATAAGAATTTAAATATTGAAGTTTTTAAAATTTATGACTTAGGGTTTTAGGATTTAAATTTGGACTAAGATTTAATATTTAATATTTTTTTTATCAATTTAAAACCATAATTGTCATGCCCCAAAACCCAAATCCAGGGACGTGGCAGACACCGTGCACTCGTGAAACGGGTCCCACAAGTGCACAAGGCTCGGAACTTATTCAAATCACAATCTGATACCACAAAATCTCAAGATAAAATTTTACAATATGCTCTGATATCATAAAATCTCCAATCACAATCTAGCTTACAAGAGCATGATTTATTTCTAAATCCATATCAATCTCGAAATGGCTAGCCTTATAACTCGTCACTCCCCTCGGTTTCCCCGTCCTCAGTTTCACTTCCTGAAATGGTGGACAAGGAAAACTATGAGATAACTCAGTAAGTAAATATGGATAGTCCTTGGGAAAAACTTTTAACATGCCTGATAACCAGTTTAACATAACAAATCACTCAATGACAAAATCAGATTCAGTTCACTTGCAAAGCATTCAATAACAAACCGTCAATGTAAAATCAGATTCAGTTCAATAACAAAACGTTTCATGACAAACCGTTAATTAAACTCATAGCATGCCAACAAGTGTAATCATGAAAACAGATATAGTACGGGCACGAAATAGACGTCTCCTCTATAGGTCACGGCCAGTGTTATAAACGTCCCACTGACAGGCAACAGAAATTACTAGTGTTTAACCCCCACTAGCAGGGTTACAGGAACGAACCGGTTCTATCAGTAACATATCGACATGTGCCGACAAGTGCTAGCGTTTAACCCCCACTAGCAGGATTACAGAAACATGACCACATTGGAGACAAAATAGGCTGAAGTTAACAGAAAAACATAATTCACCAATCACTTTCAGATCATCAGGACAATCAATCTCCAATTTCAGAAACAACCGGAAAACCTCCATGTGAGCATGGATTTAACAGAAAACTCAAAATTTACAAAAACTCTCAGTTCATCAAAACAGTTCAGTCAATTTCCAAATAGGCATGCTCAACTTCAGAAAAACAATGAAATTCTCATTTTCATTCCAATCATGCTCAATTTCAGAAAATCAATAAAATCCTCATTTTTATTCCATTCATGCTCAATTCCAGAAAAATAGTGAAATTCTCATAGAAATCATCACAATTTTCATTTCAGTTTAACCACACTCAAATGCTGGAAAAATCAATTTAAAATCAATTTGAACCTTGCCACCATCTCAAAAACAGTTTAAAACACGCTTTAAAATCGAAGGGCTTTACCATAATTTACTTACCTTACTCGCACAGAACAGAAGGCTAACCCAAGTGCTACGGTGACAGAACGATCAAAACCTAATCACAATATTCCAAGAATTAATATCGCACTACCATAAATTCAAATTGAAATCATCATCAACACTACCCCTAATCACAGTGCTATTTCTATCCATCTCCCCATAACCGGACATCTCCAAATTTATTCTTATATCACAAACTAAACATTTAAATCTCCGTTAATTATTGGCTCTCGGTGTGTGAACAGTGCCTATGAACATACCCATGAACAGTGATCCGCAGTGAACAGTGACTGTAACTTCCAAAATTGGCTAAAACACTAGCTAGTCTCACGGGATTTTTCTCCAAAATCACCACAACCCAATCCAAGCTAATTTACACTTAAGTCAAGCTTAAAAACATAACTTAAAGCTACCAAAATTCATTCCAATTTCCCAGACAAGCAATGGAGACCCACGGCTTTGGCCAACAATGGCCAAGTCACGGGATTACTCCTACACAACATCACAACAGCCCAATTAACAAAATTCCTACATAAACCAAGCACAAAACACATTTAAAT